ACACACACACACAGACACACACACACACGCTCGTGTGCGCACACCCATTGGAAAAATACCCGAAGGACATATACTAAAATGTTAACAGTAGACATCATTGAGAAGAAATATCAAAGTTGATTTTTATTATTTTTCTGTGTGTGCATGTTTGTTTGCTGTACCCTCTCCTGTAAGTTTTTTGGCAATGATCACATGCTTTTGTAATCAAGCAAATTCTTTTAAAAACTGTTTATTCTTGTATGAGGCCAATCTCAAATAGTGAACCCAGTCTTGGCTGAGTGTGGCCACCTGTGTCAGGTGGGCGCTCTGATGAGATACTTAAGCATTGCCTCATCGGTCACGGCTGAAGCCTGACTCCTGGTGGACAGAAGTATCAAAGACAGACTTCTGTTTGAAGACATCTATGTAAATAGCTTGTTGAAGTTTACTTATTCACTCATTTTATTATTCAACAAGTATGTACTGATCACATTCTAAACATGAAGCACGATGGGAATATAAAAACAAGTTTAAGTAATGTTTACAAGTTATGTTTATAATAAAATTATGTTAAGGAATATGACTTGCCTTTCTTTTAGTTGGAGTTTTATGTCGCGATAGTATGGCAGTTTCTTCACGCTGGTCCTGCTCCTCAGAGACTATGGTCTATTCCCCGGCTGTTACCGAGAATGGGATATTTTTCTTGGTATATTTTCTGTCTATAATTAGTAGTCCCGAACCTATTAATTTTCATGTATTAACATCCAACCATTTTCTTGGACTATTAGTTTTTCAGACTATTCTCTCTGGTTCTCAAGGTATACGGTAATACAGAATTTTCTTCTAAAATACAGTAGTTGTACCTCTGCCTCAGAGACCTATTCTAGGTATTCACCACTTGTTCCTTTAAATCCACTTTCCACCCTTCTTATGCTCCTTTTCAATCAGGGAAGCTTTGGGTAGGTTGTGTCAATGGGAGGCAACAGCAAGAGATCAGAGGGCAGAAGACAGGTCAGGCTATTCATTTCCTTTCCCGAAAATTTGCTCCCCTATTTCATTTTTTAAAAAAATTCTTAAAAAAATGTTTTCTTTTTGAGAGAGAGACAGAGCATGAGCAGGGAAGGGGCAGAGAGAGGGAGACAAAGAATCCAAAGGAGGCTCCAGGCTCTGAGCCATCAGCACAGAGCCGGATGCGGGGCTTGAAACCATGAACCATGAGATCATGACCTGAGCCAAAGTCGGACATTTCACCGAGCCACCCAAGCGCCCCTTAAATTTTTTTTAATGTTTATTTATTTTTGAGAGAGAGAGAGAGTGTGTGTGCGTGAGCAGGGGAGGGACAGAGAAAGAGGGAGACACAAAATCTGAAGCAGGTTCCAGGCTCCGAGCTGTCAGCACAGAGCTTGATGCTGGGCTCAAATCTGCAAACTGTGAGATCATGGCCTGAGGTTAAGTTGGATGCTTAACTGACTGAACTACCCAGGCCACCCTTTGCTCCCCTGTATCTGCCAAGAGGCACAGTAGCTCCTGAGCTCTTCCACTTCTATTTATAGTCACAATCCTTGTCAGAAGGCAGTCTCAGGGTTTCCTCTCAGCTCCCTCCCCTTGCCTCCTCAGGTCTTGAGTTGGAATTGTTTCCTGTGGCTGGGAGCTGTAAATATTTTCATTAATTTTAAATTAAATATCCTAAATATCCATAAAGATGATGGACTGAACACACACCTAATTTTTTTCTCTCAAGCACCCTCACCCCACAAAGAACCATGGAAAGGAATCTTTAAAAGCCATCAACCCTTGATATGGAGAGAACAAGTGATAATGGCGCCATAACATTAGAGGTTGGGAAGATGGCAGGCAAGTGGTAACTTGACTTGGCAGATCTCAGTAGGGAAAGCCAAAAACCCACCTGATCTATGTGGCAGGTGTCTCAAAGGCTTGGGCAGTGGTGGGTATGCTCTCCTATTCCAGGCGACTGGAGAATTCTGAACTAGACCCGGATTGAGTTGGAGCCCTGGCTACTGTTTCATATTCAGAGATCAAGGGGACATAGGCACACAGATTGCTGTGCAAGGACTGCCTACATGGCACTGAGAACACGGGGAGCCAGACCTTTACCTACTCAGCAGGAAAAAAGAAGAGTTTCTCGGGGGCCCTAAACAGTCCAAGAAGAGCTTAAGTACACAGACTTTCAGAATTTCCATGGCTCAGCAGGGATCAGAGTCCACTCCCACCACAGGCTCAGAGCTTCCAGTCTGAAATATCGAGACCAAAAAAAAAAAAAAAAAAAAAAAAAAGGAAGGAGAGAATACATAGGGAGAAAATTAAAAACAAATTTAATATCCTTTAGAGAGAAAGCAGTCATCAAACAAATGAGTCAGCAAGTAAACACAGGCTACTCCAAACAAAAAGGGAACATTAAAAGTGAGCTCTTGGAAATTTAAAACATGATGATGGTAAAAATGAAGGGATGAAAACAGAGGAATTTCCCAGAAGGTAGAGCAAAAAGACATAAGGATGGGGAATGAGGGAAGACAGAGACAGGGACCAGTTCAAGAGGGTGAAGTTCCCGACACACCAGAGAAAATGGAGGTGAGAAAAATGCAGACTCTCCCTTCACATATATTCCTTATCAAACCACTTACCATGTTCACCACCAGCAATCATCCACCATCATCTCCACTAGATTACTGCAAATTCTGATTTCCACTCTCCTCGCTTTGCCCTGCCTTTCCTCATCAATGCAGCAGAGGTGATCCTTACAAAATTTAAGTCCCATTGTAACACTCCTTTGCTAGAAACCTTGAGTAAAAGCCAGTCTTTCCCATGACCAAAAAGGTTCCACCTGTCCAAACCCACATCATCTTTCTTTTCTCAACTTCAACTACTTCCTTTCCTCTCCTCTAATCAGACTGACCTTCTTACTGGCACTGAGCCTCCTAGACATCTTTCTTCCTCAGGGCCTTTGTACTTGCTGTTCCCTTTGCCTGGAATGATCTCCCACATACATGAATGGCATAATCACTTCCTCTCCTTCATTTTTTATTTTGAGAGAGAGACAGAGACAGAGGGGGGGGGGGGGACAGGCAGAGAAAGGGAGACACAGAATTCAAAGCAGGCTCCAGGCTCTGGAGCTGTCAGCACAGAGCCTGACGCGGGGCTCAAACTCCTGAACCCATGAGATCACGACCTGAGCTAAAGTCAGACACTTACCTGAGCCACCCAGATGCCCCTCACTTCCTCTCATTTTTGACTCAAACATTTCCTTCTTGATGAGGTCTGCCTTGGCTACTCCAAATAAAACCATGAGCACCTATCCCCACCTATTCCCTATTTTCTCCATAGCCCTTATCATTAAGTGACATTTTACAATGCCATTTTTCATACTTTTTGATGAACATGGAATTTTGACTTTCTTCACTAATGCGTTCCCAAAAAGAGTGCTTAGCATGGGGCACTCAATATTTATTAAATAAACTTTCCCAGAACTGAACTCAAAATGAGTTTCCAGATTGAAAGTGTCCACCAAACACCCAGTAAAACCACTGCAAACTTTCCAAGCACTAGGAATAAAAAGATTCTGTCCACTTGCTGAGGACATAAATCAGAATTTCAAATTTCTCGACAGTAACATGGTAAAGAGCAAGACAATGGACAATTCCCAGCCTAAAATTTATTCCCCAACTGTTAGACAAGTCTGAAGGTGGAATAAGAGCATTTTCAGACTCTTAAGATCTAAGGATAATTTGCCTCCTATGCATCCTTGCTCCATAAAGCGACTAAAGCATGTGGATCACCTAAGCAGAAAAAGGAAAGCATAGAATCCTGCAAACCAGAACATGTGAGGCATGCGCAAAGATGTTCAGGGTCACAAGAAAGGGAGATTCTGGGCTGACAACTGTGCACTAAAGCACAACCAGTCCAGTCTGAGGGATTTCACACAATGCAATCTCACGATCTCTGTAGCCTGGTAAAACTAGCAAAGGATGTGTTGTGCAGAAATGATGGAACAAACCAAGAAGGTAGGGAATACCATGGAGAAAACAGGAATTCTCATTTAGGAGAAAGGCAGAGGAAGTCCGAGGACAGGAGCTGTGCAGCATTCCAGAGAGCAGTAGCATTGCCCTGGAGGGATCACACCAAGGGTGTAAACAGAACTGACAAACTGATTGATGGGCTTATCCTTGTGGATGGCTATGAAGTAGTTTGGAAAGAATTAGCAGTAGGTACAAAGGCAACTAAGCTGTGTGTGTGTGTGTGGTAAATTTAAGTTTAGGAAACACAAAAGTAAAACAGGAATGTATCATTTATAAACATGGAGCTGCAAGAAGAAACTGGAGGCATGAACAGACTACTGGATTCTTTTATAAGCCATTTAAAATTCTATGTATTCCTTTAAAAATTAAAATTGATTTTCAAAAAGATACACTGATTTCTCACTAAGCTTTCCAAACTTCTCACCTCTGGGAATTTTTCTTTCACAGTATTTACCTACCAAAATGTGATGGTAACCGATGTTGGTAGCTAGGATCCCAGGTGGCAAAGACATGAAAGAATTGAAGAGTACTTTGAAATAGTTTTATTGGCTCATAAGACCTTTGCATATAAAAAAAATACCCAAAACACTATGCAGTATTAAATCACAATTACATTTTTTTTTTACCAATTCAAACTACCCTGAATATACATCTTTTAAAGGAAAAAAATCCTACAGAACTGAATTCTGAAATGACATTATGACTTAAATACTATGACAAAATAGATAATTCCTTATAACATTAATTCATTGCACAAAGCTGCCAGATATTTTCATAAGCATAACCATTGCACAGAGTGCAAATGAACACAATTTCAATGTTACACATTTAGTTGAAGTACATGTGCCTCCACTGAAGAACTCTGACATTTCTGGCACAAAATGTTGGTCTCTCTGAACTTCCACCAGGCAACCAACTTCACAATCCACTTACTCTTTCTCTCCCTAAAAAACAGACACATCCTTCTGCCATCAAAGCCTACAAGAGTCAGCATCGCCTCTGCTTAAAGAAATCGACTCCTCTCAATTCTTCTGGCAGGTACTCTTGATCCACAGGCTCACTGTACATGGGGTTGTACTTGTAGCCCTTGCCGTAGCCCAAATCCTTCATCAGCCTGGTGGGCGCGTTCCTCAGGTGCAGCGGGACGGGGGGCAGAGGCCCCTGGTGGTTTCGCAGGCAGGCTTTGACGTTGTTGTACGCGCTGTACACCTCAATGGACTTTGGGGCTCTGGCAAAATAGACTACACACTGGGCCAGAAGCACCTACGGCAAGAAGGAAACATTTATTATGAAGGTGCCAGAAAGTTTGTCTTGTGGAATATTTTATGACATCTCTAGTTAACTCTGAAAAGATTCCCACCATGCTTTTATTACCCCCTTTTTTGCCTACAGCCCAGATAACCACCTGTGATGGGAAGAAATTCCTACAGGAGGCGCAAGGTGAACTAGACCAATGATATCCTTTTTTTTTGTTAAACAGAACTTTCTACTAAACGATTTTTTTGTTGTTAAAACCCCAACGTAGAAAACAGATAAATATGAAGCTGCTCTGTTTGTGGGTGAACTTACAGAAACTTCCTGTTCAGCTGTTTCAACACTTCTGCCCCCAGGAAAGCCTGAGCACTTCCTCCACAACCAGGACTACTAAAAAGTTTCTGCTGTTGACACCTAAGGTCTCCTCTCTCTCTAGTGTCTAAGCTTCTAAAATGAGAGTTAAAAAGCCAAGCAGCTTCCTCAGTGGGCTCACACATTAAAGGTGATGGTAGAATGGATGTTCAAATCCACAAAGGGACACAGCACAAGAGAAAGGAACTGATTTACAAAGAACTGGCTGATGACTTTACCTCACATTCGGGCATGCCTATAAAATGACAGCCTTGGTAGGCAGCAACTGCTTGTGTTAACGCAGATGGGTCTGCCAGACCTGTCACACACACAGAAAGACAGAGGAAAGTTTAAGTCACAGTGCACACTCCCACCCAGGCCAGTCAGCGAGCTGCTGCGACTAGAGACCACCACTGCCTGTGGACTTTGTTGACCAAAAAATCCCATTTAGCAAAATGGACAGACTTTTCTCTGATCTCATTAGCTTATTCGAGAAATATTTACTGAGTGGTAAAGTGTTTCCTCATGGATAAAAACTACATCTAGTAGGAAAGGAAGTATATACAACAAACATGAGGAGCAAAGGCCATGCAGACACAGTCACAAGGACAGACACATGAAAACCAAAACATCTACTAATATCAAAGAAAAGTAAAGCTTTTCTAATCTTTTTCTTTAGTGTCTAGAACCTTCCATTTCTGTTTCAGGAGGTGTCCACTGAAAACCTGAACACGTGACTGCAAAGCATTTAAAATATTTTATTTCAATACTCATGTTAGGAAAATCACTACTGAAGAGGAAACAGTGATGACTTTAGGAACATAGATACTCAAAAGTATACACTCAATGCCAAGAAATAAACCAGTGAGTCCACACTTGTCTTCTTATCTTCTCCTTACCTGTCCACATCATACCAAGAAATTCTTAGGCCAAAAAGCAGCAGCATTCCTGCCCCCAACACCATGCAACCCCATTCTTTGTGAACACCAGGGTCCGGGTCCTTCCCAGAACACTCACCTATGTCCTCACTGGCAAACCTCACAAGCCTCCTTGCCACATACAGCGGATCCTCTCCTCCTTCAAGCATGCGTGCGAGCCAGTAGAGGGAGGCACTCTGGTCTGAGCCCCTCATTGACTTATGAAGTGCAGAGATGCAGTTGTAATGCTCTTCTCCTAGACACCACAAAAAGTACTTGCTCAACTGTGGGCCAGAAGTGGGAACACACAAAGCTCACAGGAGGGTCATCTGAGCCATAGATTTGCTTCACTGGGTTGATTTTTTTTTTTTTAATTTTTTTAACGTTTATTTATTTTTGAGACAGAGAGAGACAGAGCATGAATGGGGGAGGGGCAGAGAGAGAGGGAGACACAGAATCTGAAGCAGGCTCCAGGCTCTGAGCTCTCAGCACAGAGCCCGACGTGGGGCTCAAACTCACGGACCACAAGATCATGACCTGAGCTGAAGTCAGACGCTTAACTGACTAAGCCACCCAGGCGCCCCTTCACGGGGTTGATTTTAAGGAAGCCTGGATAAGGGACCCAGGAAAGCCTGGGGAGAGTGAGATCTGACAGCCATCCTCAAGCTGCTTGGCGGGAGGGTGCAATGCCATGGGCATGGAGCAGACCCATGCAGTTCCCGTATGGCCCGTGGGGCTATCTGGTAACCTGGTCCACTCAGAGAAGGAGGCTGCCGCAGAACCTGTGCTGTCCATGCGGCGAGGGAGTACAGACCAGGCGAGGAGAGGTGGTTCTCCGGGGCCCCACTGGACTGCCACAGCCAAGCGAGGAAGGAGAGGGATTCTGATGTTCCAGTTCTACCATGTGCCCCCCTGTCATTTTGAGGAAAACTGACCCTGGGTCCAGTTGTAGCCATTAGGATGGAGAGTCAAGTGGCAAGGACAGCTGTTACAGCCCTCAGTGTCCTTTTCAGCTGCCTTTCTGGTATCTGAAGGCTGTGGTCATTTAAATTTGGTTTGGGACGCCCATGTGGTAGGATCCCAGAAGGGCAGACACATGGAATGACAGCTCTCACCGGGAAAGCACTGTAGTCCTTTGCCCTCATCACTTGGTCTCCTCCCACTTTTCACCCAGGATTCACATGTAAACAAATCAGTGAAATGTGGTATTAAAAAACATATTTAAGAAGAGAAAATTTTATCTAAATATTTGTATTTGCACACATTTCACGATTTTCTGACCATCATCTCTTCCTTATGTTCGAGGAGAGGGCAGCCTCTTCCTGAGAGAGAGCAGGGGGGTTATTCTTATTAGTATTAGCCCTTCCAAGCAAGCACCAATGTGGACAGTGAGATCATGACCTGCTCTGCATAGCATTTGAGCCCCGGGAACAAGTCCCAGCATCTGACCATGCTGGTAAGACAATACTTGGCCTTTATGGCTTTCATGGGACAAGATGCTGGCCTGTCAAGGAGGAAAGACCCAAGAGGCTAACTGCAGGGACCTGAGCACCTCCTGTTCAGGAAGAAGGCAGATCAATGGTTTCAGCTCAGCCACCAGATTTCTGTGGACAAGCAGAGTTGTCCTCTAGCTCACGGCTTCCTCAGCTAAGTCACAATGTCACGGAGACTGGCTGTGAGAATGTTCTGGGTGAACTCCACAAGGTTCTGGCACACCCCTCATTCATAGACCTGACCGTTTCATGGATATATGGGAGATGAAAGAAGCCACTTCTGCTTCACTTTCTGTCAAATGTAAATGAGAAGATGGCAACGAATCTCCCTGACACAAACATTACTCACTTTCTCATGCCTTTACTGCAGGTCAACACTGAAAGGTAAATATGGTTAAGAGCATGAGCTCTAAAGTCAGGCAGCCTGGGTTTGAGTGCCATACTTACTAGCCATGACCACGGGCGAGTTACTGATCCTCTCTACACCTCAGGCTTCTCAGTTGTAATGTGGGGATTAGAAGATTACGTGGTTCATAGGATTGAGTCTTAATGTATGCCTGGTATGCAGTAAGCACTCCAGAACCATGTAAGCATTAGATACCGCTCTAGGCTAGCTTTCATTTTTGCTTTTATCATATACCACTTTTTAACCTAAAATTTCAAGTTATTTATGTAGAATCCTGACCTTAATGCAAGGCAGAGAATTTGTTCTCATTTGGAAGTTTCTTTACTCTGATGCAGAAATATCTGAGCTAGTTACTGGATCCTACATGTGAGTAGCTATACACTAGATGACATTAAAAGAAATAATTAAAATCGTGGGGGTGGGGATTTTTGTCTCACCAGAGTTATAAAAAGGCCCAAGAGTATAAGCTAGCAGGTTTCCAGGGCAATGCTTCGATCATCCCTATTTATGGAACACAGCTTGGAAGAGAACAATTCTCTAGGATATGAACTGTATGAGCGTCTACAGATCCATGGTTGTGATGTTACGCTACAGTGGAGTAAGCTGGAGGTGGGGGGAGGGGAGGGATGGTCACATTAAGGATTGACTTGTAGAATGTGTGGTTTCTCAAGGCCCGACCCCAGGCAGCCTCCTATGTCCTATGTCCCCAGTCCTTCCTGGGGCAGCACAAGAACCACAGAGAAAGTGGTCCCCATTGTGCATGGCTCCCCTGAATGGAATATGAGCCCTAAGAAGTAGAAACCCTATGACATGTCTGACATCCACTGTGTGTGTATGGGTGTGAGTGTACTCACGTGAGTGTGTGTTACTGTGTGAGTGTACTCTAGTGGGAAACTGGTGACCTCAGGGTGGGGCTGGAGTGGGGAAGGACACAGTCCTAGGAACCAGTCTGGCACCTGGAGTTAAGAATGAGTTTTACCGCTTGTTTTGTGAACTAAGGCAAGCTTTGTTATCTGTAAAATGGGGAATATAATAACTACCTCCTATGGTAACTGTGAGAATTAAAAAAAAAAGACAATGTGTACAAGATACTTAAATATTCAATGCTAGTTAATGTTATGTTTAATGGTAGCTTTTTGGTTTTTAAATGACAGTCTGATAAAATGTGAAAAAATAGTTCCAATCCATCCAGTCAAAATGAAGAATCTCCTTTAGGACATGTACAAGCAGGGAGAGAACTCCTGTTGTTGGAACACCAACAATGGAGAGTCCAGTATGTGGGAATATTTTTGCCTCTTAAAATTTAAACTTTTGTTCGTGTCCCCAATTCTTGTATTTGGTCAAAAGTAAAGCAAAGCTCCAAGACTAGAATGCTTTACCTTTCAGGTTTTCTAAGCATTCATATGACATTCAGGAGCACAGATAGCTGGCCACCTGGGATCTCTGAGCTCTGCTAGGAGAGGTCCTGTCAAGAGGCACGTTCACATCAGAAAGTAGACAGGGTTATTTGTTAAATGCCTCTAAGAAGTCCTTACTAATATGTGCATAGTGCTTATTAGCACCCCCCATCCCCACCCCCAATCACTTGAGGCACACTAAGGCTGAAGAGCTTCTGTCATTTCCCCAAAGTCACATAGTTTTCTGTTCAACTCAACAGGAGGCAGTGCCTGGAACCAAAAGTCATTTAAGCTCTTCCACCTCCCTTCTAAAACCAGTAAGAAGTATTCTCCATCATCAAAAAGCATTTGGAAATATTTTAGACAAGGTACTACTGCCTACATGATATCTAGAATGTTCAATTCTCAGCTTCTTTTTCTGGCATAGCTTTTAAAGGTATGGAAATTATTCCAGTTATTACAATATGATTCTATCCAGAATCACACAAATACACAAGCCCCAGAGTCCAGCCTAATCTACTGTATGCTATCTTCACCATCCATTTCTTTTACCAAAAGATATGACTGTGCTGTGCTTATGACATTTAATACTTTTTTCAAATCTGGTAACTGTAAATGCAGTGCTATAAAAACAGAAAAGTGTACACAGCAAAATTAGTATTTTAAAAAAGCTACTAAACTAAAAGCATCATATCAAGATCCATTTAACTTCATTTTTAGTTGAGACTCTAGAAATTAACCATTTTAATTCTCATTAAACTAATAGAAATAAGTCACTTTTTGCAAAAGTCCTCTTGTTATTTACTGCCATTATAAATGATCACAAAAATTACTATCAACTGTGAATGTAGGGGCTTTCAAAAATACTTGGTATTCTAAAAGGCACTATACCAGAGAGTGATGGAAAAATACCAACCTACCTTATAAGGAAAGTTTGAAGCCTGCAATTTCAAACATGAAAGCTCTCAATTCTTATCAGGACAGCTTCTGTTCTGTGCCTCTCACAAGAAAGGTCAGGAAGCTAGGTCTTTGAAATCAGGCTCTGAGTTGGAGGTTTAATTCAATTACCAATATGGAGATCCAACTGAGAATCAAGTTCATGTTTTGAACTCAGCTGAAAGTCAGAAGCCTGGGATGTGAGTATATGGACACAACTTATTTCATTAAAGTTTCCCTCTTTTCACATTTCGGTTACTTACCTGCTCGGTCATATAAAATATGAGATTGCTGGAGGCCTTCCTTCACATCATTTTCAGTGATCAGAACTCTACTAGGAGAATAGGTTTGCCCACTCTTCTTACAAAACATCTTCCTAGAGCTTAACCTGGCCAGCACTGCCAGCTGCAGTCCGTTCAATCCAGCTCGGGCGTCCCCATCGCTAAGATAAGCCAGAGTGTCTACTGCTTTATCCTCTATGAACACGGATGGCCTGCAACACAAGCATGGTTAGTTACTACCACTTTCATGTTCTGCACTTATTCTGTAGTACTTCTTACAGAACTGCTGTGTCTTAGCAAGGTCACTAAAAAGCTACCTTAGTTAGGTTCAAGGCTTCTGCCCTTTCTCCCTAACTCATGTTGTCAACAATGTTAAGCATTACCTAGACGGAGAACTGACCTTGAGTCACGATTATTTTACTGTGTAAGCACACACATATAAGCCATGTATGACAGAGACATGGAAAGATATGTGGTCTCTCTGGTTCTATCCTACAGAAAAGTGAAAAACACAGGAACACTAGGACTTCACTATAGTGTACAGAAAACATACTTCAAACACAGTCCCCAACCTGACGAGACAGGTGTGCTCAGATCACTTTCCAAACAGGGCAGGGCCAGCATCAAATCATGCAGTTCAATTCCCTCATTTTACAAACACATCAGGTTCCCAGCTACTTTGGACACAGGCACTAGAAGCAGGCCTCTGGGATTCTGGCCTGGGGCGTGCTTCCAAGAGGTTAGGTATTAATTACATAAAGCCTACACAGAGTAGCAGAGAGGTCACTAGCCTGGGTATCTAACAGAAGACTCTGACAGAACTTGGCTGTAAGACCTTAGGTCAGGCACCTACCATCACATTTCTAAATGTGGACCTGCATACAGGTCTAATTAGGATTTATTGTCAAGTCTAATTCAGTAAACTTTTCTATTTCTAGTTAGACAAAATATCTCACATATTTAGTTACCTAGAAGGGTCCTAATTCTTGGATAGCTGTTAGCTGCACATTTGCAAAACAAAAAATAATTTTTCAAAGTTACAGCTCCCCCATGTCACTGCCAACTTTCAGCTGAAAATGTCTCTAGTAATTAATAAGCTGATTAGGACTGTCCAAATCAGCTACTTGGAAAACCGTGCACAGGCACCTACTGGGCTGGGTCAAGGAGGGATGGTGGGGATGGGGGTTCAGTCCATGAAAGGGGACCCAGCTTGTCTATGAAGGCCCATGCATAATTCCTTATCATACACCCATCACCTACTACTTCACTTTGGTGAACAGCTTGAATAACACCAAGTTGCATTTCATTCACTAAAAGATGTTTCTAACATCTTAAAGTCTGCCTCATCTCACCCCATCTTTATCAAAGCCAAGACTTCCACTTTCTCATCTCTCACCACACATAAGGCACCTATTTTGTCTTAGCTTGATAATGAAATGACTCTCTCATCAGACTCCTGACAGCTAGCTGCCTGGGCCCCAGAGTCATGGTTACAGTTTAGAAATCCAACCTCCTCCCTTCCTCACCAGACAGATACTCAAAACATACACGAGGCCCACATCACTGGCACTTTGTAAAGCCAAGGAAGCATTTCTCAAACATATACTGTTTAGCAGATTCTAGATGATCTGGAAGAAAATGACAGACAACACATACTAAAGAAAATGTGTTAGGAGGGACTAACAGATTGAGTGTGGTAGAGGGAAGGGCACTCCTGGGGCCTGGTTACAGCACATTGTCTTTGTGTGTGTGCACACATGTGTGTGTATTGGGGGGAGGGGGTAGAGGTGAGGGGAGGGGGTAGAGGCAACAAAATTGCCTGAACATCTAATTTCAGCCTCAGAACTAACAAAAGCAAAGCCTTCTACCTCTTTGGAAAGCTTCCTAGCAACAAAGAGCCCACAAGATCATTTACAGGAAGGAAAAAGAGTAAAGCAGGAGCCCTAATCAATCCTAACTGACTGAGCCATCAGTCCAATGGAGTTGGGCCATTTGTTGATCACATTTGTCATCTATCTCCACTAAATGTTGAGGCCTCAAGGACAGGAATTATGTTTTATTCTTTTCTTACAGCCCTAGTGCTTGATGGAGAATAGACATTCAATATCTGCACAATGAATGGACTAATTTCAATTTCTTCCCACAATCTCAAAGTGAAATGTTTATTTTTTAAAAATTGTAACATATGAAAAAACATTAAAACAACAACAAAACCCTTTTCTGCGCCACCTAGAGATAATAGCTACTAGGTATTATGCTGAATTTCCTTTATGATCCATCTACCCATGCAACCATCAACTTTGTATCTAAATTTTAAAACAAAACTGAGATCATACTATAGTTTGCATCTTTAACAATTATATAATATTTTGAAAAACAAGCTATTCAGAACTCTGAATTTTTTTTTTTTTTACAAAATGTATAGTACATAAAACTTGAAAAAGAGAGAGAGAAAGGAATGAAAGTTACCTACTGCCTACCTACCTACCTTAATATTAGTATTTTGGTACATATCCTCTTGCTATGAATTTGTCCACTACATATATTTAGTGGCATGAAGTGCTTTGGGGACAGAAAAAAGATGGGTGTCCTTATATACCCCAGCATTGACTATCTTGCCCCATTTCCATTGGTCCTCATACAGTCAGCAAGCAGGCCTTATTAATTATGAAAGAAGCCAACTAGCAAACTGCTCCATAGATATATAAACAGCATAATGTAAATGGGCCTTTAAATGGGTATTTTATGTGGTTAGAAAATAGGATCCTTCCTTTAATTTTTAAACTCTTAATTAAAGTCCGAGTTATTCTATTGGTATCCTTTTAAATCACGTTTGGCATCACAGGGAGTGAGAGAGCTACTACAGTAAAACCAGAGCTGAGAGCTTTCACCCAGGCTCCCACTGCTCCATTCTTTCTCCCCCTTGGTATGTTCCACATTCCAAATTTCACCCCTGTCCAAAATGATGAGTATTTTTAAACACAAATGAATCTGTCAGCAACTCTGTTCAAGTAATAAAAGGCGACTGCTGAAGGCACTCACAATGGTCACACAAGCAAATTACCTAATGGAAATTTGCCATTAAGAACACGGTACAGATGTTCAAAAAGTTCTATCTATCCTCCAATATATCTTGAACCCCAATTTACACTACCTTGGTTCTGAAGAGTAATAAAATGTGTTAAAATATCTTGTGATCTTAGAAGAGGGAACACATGAGAGTGCTCATGCCGAGAACAATGAAATAAGGAATATTTATACTGAGATTTGCAAAACTCCTTAGCAGATAGTAACTACTGTACAAATTATCTTGAAAGAGTGCTCCTAGTCCAAAGATGTTATTTTAAAATTTAAGCATAAACCTATAAAATGTTTTCCATTTGGAAGTAACTTTCCAAGTTAGAACGGAATTAAATAAGGCAAAATCTACTTTGGGGATAGAGTGTCTGAACTTTCACAGTATCCTCCTAAGAAATAGATAATAAATTATATTGTAAAACACTGTTCCATAATTTAAAAAATGGTTAAAATAAGTGCATTGGAAAAGATATTTCCAGTTTACAGATGTAGAAATAAAAGACTTAGCCTCATTTCTCTAAATGAAGAAAAATACTTCGGTCTTAGCAGGAATGGGAAGCAAGCTGCAAAGACAACTTCCTTCTTTCCTTTTTTCTCCAAGGGCCTGAATCTTTCTGTACACTGTTTCCCTGGTGGTTGATACTGAGATTTGGAGAATTCTTTTTAGATGGTGGGATGTTTAAGTTGGAGGAGGAGTGAAATAAGTGAAAATGTACCTGTTATTTCATGGCAGAACAAAAAAAAATATGTATGGCTCAGTTAAACTCTCTCCCTAAGTTATAAAACAATACTCTGTGAATCTTTCACTAAAGAAAAGGGAACATTCCATGGTCAGGGTAACAATTGCCTAACAGTGGTCCTCAACCAGGGATGTCCATCAGATTACAGAGAACTATCCTAAAATACAGATGTATGTATCTAACCACAGATTTAGTGATTCTAAAATCTCCAGGGACAGACCTCCCCCCCCCCCCCCCCCCCCCC